TGTTGGGTTTTTCTCTGTATCTATGAAGCGCCTTGAGGCGACTTATGTTGTGATTTGGCGCTATATAAATAAAATTGAATTGAATTGAATTAAATGCAAGTATATTTATTGCTGTTCGTTGCTTTCTGTCAGGTTGAATCAAACCAATCTCACAGCAAAATGCTGCCAGGACTTCTCACTATTTCTCAACTCCCAGTTCTCCAGTCTGAGAGACCTGGACCTGAGTAACAATGACCTGAAGGATTCAGGAGTGAGTCTACTCTCTGCTGGAATGGTTCATCATCACTTTAACCTACAGACGCTCAGGTCAGATCACATTGTGAAATATCTATGTAGTGCTCTGTTGCACTATTTGTACTTACCTTGATTATAAAAACTAAGGCTACAAGAAATTTTGTTTTTTTCATCAGGTTGAATCAAACTGGCCTTACAGAGAAATGCTGCCACCAATTGTCGTTGGTACTCAGCTCCCAGGTGTTAAGTCTGAGAATGCTGGACGTGAGTAACAATGATCTGCGCAATTTAGGCGTGAAGCTACTCTCTGCTGGACTGAAGGATTCTGACTGTGCACTAGAGACTCTCAAGTAAGAAGATTACCCCTTGCAAACAGGAGGAAACTGTCATTGTTTTTATATATTGCTCCAGAACTATGTTTGGCAAAATCGGCTCATTTTGTTACTCTAAAACAGTACAAGAGTTGACTTAAGCCTTCACAATAACTTCTAAGATTATTTGAGAAGATTGTTTTAAAATATAGCTCTAATCCATTCACTAATAACTGTGGCAAAGGACATCTAACCCCTAACTGCTAACTATTTTCTTTGTAAGTTTGCATCTTTGCAAACTTTCAATACCTATGAGAGTGCTTTGGTTAACCACTAAATTGCCTTGCTGAGTCACAGCAGTTACAGTAGCTCTTCCATGCTTTGTTGCTTGGTTATTTGTCACTTCTTTTTTACTCCTGGGATTTTCATTTTTTTTGTTATTTTAGAGTCCAGTGTTTACACACAAGACTAAATTACGGTACTGAGCATGTCAGTGATACTACATGGAACAGCACTTGTTATCATTGACGAGCTACAGAGGAGACAACTGGGCTGAGAGATGAGTTAGCTTCGGAGCTGGTGATGAGAGAGATGAGGAAATATAAGCTGACCATTCCACTGTCATTATGTGATGTCCTTGGACAATATGAAGGATGACCTCAGAGAACTTATTAAGACCCAGAAAATACTAAATGTTAAGTATGATGGGTTTCACAGAAAGGTTTTTAGGAGGGATGTCGATTTGAATAGTAAGAGGAAACATGTAGAAAGTGCACTGAAGACATCCTATGTCAGATTTCACCTGGATTAACAAGGTCTGTGTCAGGTGCAGAGGAACTAGGATACATTGACGAGAAGTGGAACAAGAATCCATAAGTGAACAAGGGATGAGAATAGGGACCTGTTGGAATGGAAAGTAATTCCAGCTCAAAGGGTTACATGAAGTGGATGTGGATCCTATGGACACCCATTCTTTGACACCCAACATTTGGACCAATGGCAAAACAACTGGTAGTTTAGTGTTCCTTAGAGATTGATGATGTACAACACAAGTGCTACGGCAAGGGGGTGCCATCAGGTCGTCATCATCCCCACCCTCCTAGATTGGGTGACATTCTTGAGATGCTTGGCTACAACTTGAACAGCCAAAATCAAGATAGCACAGAAGTTAGTGGCAGAAAGTTGTGATTAAGAAATGGGTGACTAAGAAGCACAGAAAGCTGTCCATACCTGAGGCCTTGGGAACTGCTAAGCAAAGACTCACAGCTACCCATTTTCTCACAGCCTAGAAATATGGTATCTAAGCAGATTCTTACTCTGGATGGCATTACCTTGGCCTCCAGTAACGCTGTGAGGAACCTTGGAGTCATTTTTGACCAGGACATGTCCTTCAATGCACATATTAAACAAATATGTAAGACTGCGTTCTTCCATTTGCGCAACATCTCTAAAATTAGAAATATCCTGTCTCAGAGTGACGCTGAAAAACTAGTTCATGCATTTATTACTTCCAGGCTGGACTACTGTAATTCATTATTATCAGGATGTCCGAAAAACTCACTGAAAAGCCTTCAGCTAATCCAAAACGCTGCAGCAAGAGTACTGACAGGGACTAGAAAGAGAGAGCATATTTCTCCTGTTTTGGCTTCCCTTCATTGGCTTCCTGTTAAATCCAGAATTGAATTCAAAATCCTGCTCCTCACATACAAGGTCTTAAATAATCAGGCCCCATCTTATCTCAATGACCTTGTAGTACCATATCACCCTATTAGAGCACTTCGCTCTTGCTCTGCAGGCCTACTTGTTGTTCCTAGAGTATTTAAAAGTAGAATGGGAGGGAGAGCCTTCAGTTTTCAGGCCCCTCTTCTATGGAACCAGCTTCCAGTTTGGATTCGGGAGACAGACACTATCTCTACTTTTAAGATTAGGCTTAAAACTTTCCTTTTTGCTAAAGCATTGTAGTTAGGGCTGGACCAGGTGACCCTGAATCCTCCCTTAGTTATGCTGCAATAGACATAGGCTGCCGGGGGATTCCCATGATGCATTGAGTTTTTCCTTTCCAGTCACCTTTCTCACTCACTATGTATTAACAGACCTCTCTGCATTAAATCATATCTGTTATTAACCTCTGTCTCTCTTCCATAGCATGTCTTTATCCTGACTTCCTTCTCTCACCCCAACCGGTCGCAGCAGATGGCCGCCCCTCCCTGAGCCTGGTTCTGCCGGAGGTTTCTTCCTGTTAAAAGGGAGTTTTTCCTTCCCACTGTTGCCAAAGTGCTTGCTCATAGGGGGTCATATGATTGTTGGGTTTTTTTCTCTGTATCTATGAAGCGCCTTGAGGCGACTTATGTTGTGATTTGGCGCTATATAAATAAAATTGAATTGAATTGAATTGAACCCATTTGAAGAGGTATATGAGAACGTTGGAAGCCAGGAGAATAAACCAACTGTTCTCCACTGATGTGTAGTGTCAATGGCAGGAAAACAATTTGAGAGCAGCCCCACCAAAGTTGGAGACTGAGGAATACTAGAAGACCATATGGGAGAAGACTCAACTTATAACAACAATGTTCAATGGCTAGTGGATCTAAGAGCAGACCATATCAATCTCCCTGAACAGGATCCAGTAACCATCACAGTGGGAGACATCCAAGAAAGAGTCTCAAGTATGAAGAGATGGACAGTACCAGCCCTTGACGTGACGCTAACAGCATTCCACATGTTTCTAGCAGCACAAATATACCTGCTGCTAATGGATGAGACACACCCAAAATGGCTAACTGATAGCCCTAATCCTCAAGGATTATCAGGAGGGAAAAGTCCCATCCTGCCTCAGGTCCTGTACTAGAATTATATAAGATCAACAGGAACCTTAGGCCACCTTCAAGCAAATTACACCACAAAGTGAGAGATTTACCAAAGAGATGCTTTGTCCTTACTGCTGTTATGCATAGGCCTGAACCACCTCAGCCAGATCGTTGACAAGAGAGGCTACGGATACCGACTACAGAATGGAGCAATTGTTAGCCACCTCCTCTCTTTGGATGACATCAAGCTGAATGCCAGGACTGGAGAAGACATCGACTGATTCATACCACTAGGATGTAGAGCAGCGACATCAGAATGTCATTCAGATTAGAGAAGTGTAGTTGGATAGTAACAAAGAGAGGGAAGGTAGTCAGAAGTGAGGAGATTACATTACCAGATAGTAAGGACAGTCACAAGTACCTGGGGCACCACAGGCAAATTGGAACCGTGAAGAGGTCTCTAGGAAAGCTGCAACCACCAAGTACCTGCAGAGGGTCAGGCAAGTCCTGAGGAGTCAGCTGAATGTAAGTAAGAAGTTAAGGAAGTCCAGACGCTTTTCTTTCCAAGCTCCTTAGACTACGATGACCTGGAGGACTGAGAACCTTCACAGACACAAGAGGAAAAAGAACAGAAGCCATCATGGAAAAACAGCACAGAGGCACTAATCATGGCAGCACAGGAATAACCTCTGAGCACACTGACAACACCAGGCAAGACCCCAGGTGGAGGCTATGTAAAGATACCCCTGAGACAATCCAGCACATAACAGCAGGGTATGAGATGCAAAGGGAGTGCATACATGGAACGCCATAACCAAGTCGCTGGTATAGCATATAGGAACATCTGTGTCGAGTATGGCCTGGACGTCCCGAGGTTGAATCGGGATATGCCCCCTAGAGTGGTTGAGAATGACTGAGCTGAGATCCAGAGACAGACAAAAGGGTGACAGCTATCCAACGGGACACAGTAGTTGTTAATACATTTAGCTATACTGAGTCATAGCAACATTAGGGAGGAACATGAGAAGCTGAGAGACGAGCTGGAGAAGATGTGGAGGGTGAAGGTAACAGTGGTCCCAGTGGTAATCAGAGCATTAGGTGCAGGGACCCCCAAGCTAGGTGAGTGGCTCCAGCAGATCCAGGAACAACATCTGAGATCTCGGTCCAGAAAAGCATAGCCCTAGGAACAGCAAAATAAAGCAAAACAATGCTCCCTCACCCTGCTCACTGCTCAGTTAACACACAATGACACACCTGAGTATTTACTCAGGCTACAATAACTTTGGACACTTGATTCAGTAAAAGCACTGCGCACATCATGTTCTTTCCTCCCCACACTCTCATAACCTGTATATATTTCTTAATTTCAAATGTGTATTCTATATCTGTATTTAGTTATTGTACAGGGTGGGCATTTATATGGATACACCGTAATAACATGGGAATGGTTGGTGATATTAAAGTCCTGTTTGTGGCACATTAGCATATGTGAGGGGGCAAACTCCTCATGATGGGCGGTGACCATGGTGGCCATTTAGAAGTCGGCCATCTTTGATACAACTTTTGTTTTTTCAATAGGAAGAGGGCCATGTGACACATCAAACTTATTGGTAAT